TGCCGCGCCGGGGGCCGCGGGCGATGGGATCCCAGCGCCCCAGAAGGTGCTCTTCCCAGCCCAGCGCCTTTGCATGAAGTGGGAGCGGATCCACCGTGTGGGTGCCGGGCTGAGTAACCTGGGCAACACGTGCTTCCTGAACTCAGCGCTGCAGTGCCTGACCTACACACCACCTCTCACCAACTACCTGCTCTCCCGGGAGCACGGACGCACCTGTGAGTGGGGACCCAGTTAGGGTGGCCAAAGGGGAAGGAGCAACGTCTGCCTCTCCCTATTGCTGTGCCTGACTCCGGTGAGGGATTGTCAGGATGCACTTTCCCTGCTCCCTTCTGCCTGTTTCTCCATCTTCAAGAGGCTGTTCCTGGGTCCAGCTCACTTCTTCTGAATGTAGCAGTGTTCCCGAGCTTGGCATCCTTGTGTCTGGGGAGACTTTGTCTCTTCTGGGTGTAGCCAGAACTAAGAAGGTCCCAATGGGGCCTGCCAGATTCTTAGGGGCTGAGTTTGGGGGGTCCTGAATAGCCTCTGCCTGTGGGAACTGCACGAGGGCAGCGTGGCAGCCTGTGACAGCACTGGAGATCCCCTGTGCTGCCTCCAGCTCTCCTGAGTTTGTCCCCAACATCATCTCTCCCACTCCAGGTGCCCATGGAAGCTTCTGCATGATGTGCACTATGCAGAACCACACGATCCAGGCTTTTGCAAACAGTGGCAATGCCATAAAGCCACTGTCCGTCATCCGAGATCTCAAAAGTAAGGATGGCTGCCCTCCACTCCTGTGACTAATGTGGGAGCAAAACTGTTGGGATCAGGGTATGGGTTGGCAGATGGCTCCTCTGAGATAACTCACAGAGCCGTCCAGGGGCTGGTGAACTTCATGGGCTGCTTGGGGCTTCCCCTGTGGCTGGCATGAGTCTGATGTTTTGGTTCCGGAGGCTCAAACCCCAGAGTCCCTGCCTCCTCTTGTGCAGTATCTGCTGCAGCCTGTGATAATTCCTCCCTCTCTTGCAGAGATTTCCCATAACTTGCAGTTCGGCAGGCAGGAGGATGCACACGAATTCCTGCGTTACACCATTGATGCAATGCAGAAGGCCTGTCTGAATGGCTACACCAAGTACGTGCGGCCTGATGGCAGGGGGGACTGTGCTGAGGACACGGGGCTCATGGGGGTGGCTGTTGTGGAAAGGTGGTGTGAGATCCAGTGTGAGCTCGGTGATGCTGTCTCTATGTAGGCTGGATCGCCAGACCCAGGCCACGACTCTGGTTCACCAGATCTTCGGTGGTTACCTGCGGTCCCGTGGTAAGTGCCAGCTGCCAGGGCCCAGGCCTGGGCAGGAAAACTCTTTTCGGAAAACAGCTAAGCATGTATAACTTACCTAGAGCCACAGGCAGTCAGTCCTGTGGTACCTGGGGGTTATGACCCCTGTTGTGACAATGGTCATGGGTCCCCAGCTCATTGCCACCAGCAAAGGGACCTGCTCTCCCAGCATGTAGTGGAATCTCCAGCCTTCCTCCTGACCAGGCTGTTCTGGTGATCTCCTGGTGTTCACATCTCAGAACCCAAACCCAGACTGGGGGACACTGCAGCTGCCTGTGCTGTGCCAGGGGCATGGTGGGTGCAGGTGTTGTACCAGGTGTGTTCATGGCTCTTCTTTTGCAGTGAAATGCTCTGAGTGCAAGACTGTGTCGGACACCTATGACCCTTACCTGGACATGACACTGGAGGTCGAGGTACTGCAGCAGGGTTGGGGATGGGGGACCCAGTTGTGCAGGCATGGTGCTAGCAGGAGGGAAGCATGAGCTGCGACTCCTGTGTGGAGGCTCAGTGGTGCTGGGGGGGCAGAGCAGCCTCCCCCGCAGTGTGCCTGGGACAGGTTCATGGCTTTGGGGGGCAGCCTTGGCCCCGTGATGTGTGCTCTGTCCTGGGGCCAGTGCCTTGGCTGGGAGTGGGACTGTGGTGTGGACAGGCCCCTTGTGCCCTGACCTCTGCTCTGTGCTTGCAGCGAGCTGCAAACGTCGTGCGGGCGCTGGAGCTGTTTGTGAGGCCGGAGCAGCTAGGTGGGGAAAACGCCTACATGTGTGGCAAGTGAGTGTGGGGGGGCTGTGGGCAGGATGGGGCCCACAGGTGTGCTGGTGGGAAGGCTGCCATGGTAAAGGAGGGTTTCAATACCTGCTCCATGGCTAAACCATGAGGAACACGGCCAGGGAAGCCTGTGATGAAGCTTGTCCATCCTCAGCTCCCTCCTCTCGTGAGGAGGACCTGGGCCAGCAGACATGGCTGTGGGCAGGTGCCTGGAACGATGCCTGGTGTCACCAGGATCATTCCTGTGGGGTTTGCCATTCCCATGGGGTTTGCGTGGCCAGGGTGGGCAGTTGTCTGGGTGGTGGAACAGCTTGAATAGCTCAGGCTCTTCCTGGACAGGTGCAGGAAGAAAGTGTCAGCCAGCAAACGCTTCACCATCCACCGAGCCTCCAATGTTCTCACCATCTCACTGAAGCGCTTTGGCAGCTGCAGCACTTCACGTGGAAGGAAAATCACCAAGGTGAGTACTTCGCAATCCAGAGCCAGAGCTGTGTCCTGGCCCAAGGCCCTGCCCCCAGCGCAGGAAGGGAGGTGGTCCTGGTGTGGTCCTGCAGCCCTTCCCCACTGCGTGGGGGAAATTGAGCTTATCCTGGCATCTTCCTTGCTGCAATCTCTGCCTGGAGAGAGCGCGTTCTCCTCCCTTGAGAAATGGGACTTACAGGACAGAGAGCTACTCTTGTCCTGGCAAGAAAGCCATCTGCTGTGCTGGCTCCTGAGACATCTTCTCTGCAGGATGTGGGATACCCCGAGTACCTGGACATCCGCCCCTACATGTCTGAGCCCAAGGGCGATCCTGTCGCGTACGGACTCTATGCAGTGCTGGTCCACTCTGGGTACAGCTGCAATGCAGGGCACTACTTCTGCTATGTGAAGGTGAGCTTGGGTGCTCTCTTGGCATCCTCTCTGGGCTGGGGTCTGCTGAGTGCTCATGGGTCCCTGTAGGGTGCAGAGAGTAGGGTGCTTGGCAGGGTGAGTGGTGTGGGGCACAGGTTGTGCTCTGCTGTAGGAAGTGTGAAGGTCTGGTCTGGCAGAGTCCCCTGTGGGT